ATTATTAAGTGCGCCACTCCTAATCCTAGTAGCAATTAACTATAGTGTAGAGCGTTAGTTTTTGCACTAGTAGGGTGCTTTATTCTTAACTATAGCATACTTATCTTTAGTAATACCCTCTTCCTCTAGTATTATTATCTTAGTATCTAGAGTCTTATTAAGTTCCTTAAGTAGTCTAGGTAATATATTATATAATTTATTTATTACCTCTATATTAGTATCCTATAGTTATAGGCCTACTACTATATATTAACTAATAAGTCTAAACCCCTAGTATATATTCTTACCTATCCTTGCTAGGAGCTAGGCGGCGTGTCTTCCTTAGGCTCTTGTTACCCTTTGTATAGGCAACTCTGCTAGGGATTCTTCTTCTAGGATATAGGTAGCTAATACAATTTCTCCTAGGGTAGTATCTAGTATATCCTCTATCCTCTTCTTATTACTCTATAACTCCCTTACTATACTTCCTAACCTTAATAGTCCTCTATTCTAGACTACACTTCTATCTAGTAGTATAGTCTAGGCATGCCTAGTGTAGGATATAGTTCTAGGTAGCTAGTTATAACCTAGATTCTTAATCTCTTATACTATCCTCTCCTCCTCTACTTTCTTTTCTACTATTTCTCTGCTTCCTTGCAGAGAGCTAGCTAGAATACCTTTAATTTCTTTTAGTACTAGTATTCTATAGTTTATTAATAACCTTATACCCTCTTTCTATATCTATTTACTAGGGGGGATTATACTAAGTAGCACCCCTACCTCGTTCTCTAACTTCCTATACTATTATACTACTAGGCGCTAAATCTTAGTATAAGCACTATCCTCTTCCCTATAGCATATATTAAAGTTTTAAGGGTTACCTATACCTTTAAGTATTAGTCTAGGTAGGGTATCTAGGCCTAATATATAGTAATAAATAATTGCCCTAATATATTATAAGAAATAGTCTTCTAGATCCTTCTTAGCCTTTATAATAGCATCTACCTTCCCTATTAGCTTAGTAATTATAACTTAGACCCTATGCTAGTTAGTAGTATTAATAAAATTGTCTTTTAACTAGTTTTGCCCCTATATTCTATAGTATACCTCTAAGTTTAGGAAGCTAGTAAGCTAGTCTAGATCTATATAATATAGGAGGTACCTTATATCTATATATCCTTAGTGTGTCTAACTAACCTATAGGGTAAATTAGCTTAGGTATTTCTAATAGAATTTAGCGTAATTAGTGTAGATATACTATATTACTAAGTGTATTTTATTAAGTTACTTCTTATATATATTACGCGCTTCCTTTATAAATAGGTACTATACCCTTAAATTAGCTATACTACTATATACCTATATACGTGCTAGGCTAGACTCTATAAAGCTCCCTACTACTATTATTAATCCTAAAGTATTATTAAAGTGCTCCCCTAGTGCTCCTATAAAGTTATTATGGAAATCTAGATTACTAAGGTTAGGAATAATTTAGGAGATAGATTATTAGATTATATCTACTACGATTGGACTTATATATATAGAGCTTTAGCTACCCTTACTAGAAGGTAAATAATTAGTAAACCTTCCTTACTAGAGCTCCTATTTTTTATTAGGCACTTAGTAGTAAGCTAGCAGTTAATTAGATAGTAGGTTATATAGGGGTATTAATTAGGGTTAATTAGATTAAGATACTCTATAATCTAGTTAATATCCCTCCTATAACACACCCCCTAGGTATAGGTAGATCTTTTATTATTATAGTTACGCTTATAGTTAGTAGGTAGTGTAGCTAATTAGAGCGTTATATATCTAAAGGGTTAAATTAGCTTACCCTTTAGATACTAACTAGCGCGCCTTCCTTATTTAGCCTGCGCTTACGTGCGTAGATATTATCTAGACTAAGCTCTATAACTCTATCTACCTAACTATAATCTTTACTATAGCTTAAATTATAAGATTATATAACTCTAAAGATCTAAACTATACCTATATCCCTACTAACCTATATCTTTAGTTAAAGTTAAAAACTACTACTTATACTTGCTCTACCTACGCTACCCTTATTGCCTCCTGCGCTGCTAAAGCTACTATTACTAAGGCTACTACTACTAAAGAAGAGC